CACTTAATGTATCTTTAAACATAGTTTCTGATCCTCTGGAAAGTTTCTCCATTTAACTTTTCTATCCCTTTTTCTCTTATTTTGAGCATATTAATCAGTTATTTGAAAGTGATTATTCGATAACTCCTAGAGATCTGGGTCTTGTGTTGGTACGGATCTTTCTTTCTTCCCCCAACCCTCTCTCTCTCTTTTTTTTCTCTTTAATCATGTACAGGTTTTCCCTGAAGTAGAGTGTTACTATGGAAACTTTCACAAGCCAAAATGGCATAAAGAAGCAATTACCATTCACTTATATGGGACCTTTTTTGGGAGGGTTTCCAGACACAACAGACACAACCAAATCATACCAAGTAACACAAAAAATCTAAATAACACTAACATACAGTATGCATGGGAACGCTGTGGCTCCACACGGTAAGCACTGGACTTTGGAACCCAAGGTCTGCAGTTTGAACCCACCAGCCGCCCTGAGAGACAAAGATGAGGTTTTCTCCTCCCTCAAAGATTTAAAGCTTTGAAAATCCTATCTGGGGGTAGCCATGAGTCAGAACTGACTCCACGACATTTAACAACAACACTAGTATTCACAGACACAATGACCAGTCTTTGGATTCATCGTCCAATCAGACCTTCGTGTGATCAGGGGCCCCTCTTCTTGGTGGATCTTGAACTCTTAATATTTGTCTCCTTAGCATCTGAGATTCTAGAAAACTCCTGTCCTATTTCGATATCCTTTTGTTTCAGAATTTTGCAAACATCTTACTAATTTAGGGACCTACTTCTCCACCTCTCCATTCTCTTGGGATCTTGGCCTCTCAAGTTAATTTCTCTACACTAAAAGTTCTGCAGGTTCTCTGTCTCTCAGCAACAGCTCTCTGTCTGAGAAGACACCGGATTTCCAGCCTCTGGTCCCGTGACCAGCATGCAAATGCTCCGAGGGAAAAAGTGCTGAGGATAGCCATCTCTTGTCTTGCAAGCCCCCTGCTCCGGAATCTTGGCTGCTTCTCCGGATTGCTTCAATAGTTCTTTGATTGTTCAAAACAGATGAGGGTTGTTGGTTTTTTTTGCATCTTTTTTGCTTGTGCATGGTGGGAACATTGGTCTGCTGCCAACCTCTCTACCCTCTGGGAACTTAAGTCTCTCTGTACTTTTATGCATTGGTTTAATGCCTCTTCTCTGATGCAAGCCATTAGCACAAGCTCCTGTATTTTTTGTAAAACTTTTCACGAGAAGGTTCTAGCCTGAGTTTTCAGTGGGCTAGCCAGTTGTCCCGATAGGAGCCTTACCTGATTATTTGAAATCCTGCCATATCATTTGTTAGATTTGTGTGTGTGTGTGTGTGTGTGTTTGTACATGCCCAGTCTTTTTCTGTTGGTGTGCATTGTTAGATGTTGGAACTTTGCAGTAGGTATGATATAGTGTGCAGTGGACAGAGGAAAGCTTCCCTTTTTCATTCTTAATTTTCAAAATTCTCTTGGATTGCTGAATTCCAATGAAAATCCTGTTGGGATATTTTCTTATTGGGATTGCACTTAATTTATATGATTAAATTGAGAAGAGCTGAGAAAGTTACAGTATCTAATGGGGCATCTGTTTTAATAAACAATTTATTCATGTCTAATGGCTTCTACGCTCTGTACTTGGAATTTCTTAAAGGACATACACTTTGGCATTTTTTTTACTGCACAAAAGCCTGTTGCTAAGCGCGTGTTGGAAGGCCTATGCTCGGTGCAGCCCCATCACAATTTTCAAGGTTGCTCCTTCCTCTTTCCACCCCAGCCTTACTGTCCTCAGCCTCAGAGGGCATGACCCTGCAGTCTGCTCCTGGACAGTCATCCGTGGGTGACAATGGTGAAGCCGCGATGGAAAGCCGCACAGGCTGCTTGGACGTGGAGCGTTTTGTGGTTGTGAGAGGCCATGGTGGTGGCAGTGCCGGGCTCCAGACATGCAGAATTCTGCCTTCAGCTGCCTCCTGAGCTTGCTGGTCCACTGTTGAAGGGTAGCCTGGTGCTTACCTCTCTCTGGGGCCACAGAGTTGCTGAGCTTACCTGAGAACCTGGTCCATCTCTCTGTCCAGAGCTCTGGGGAGCCTAGGAGTGGACTCTGGGTATGGCCTGGCAGCTTCGAGCTCACAGTGCCTGAATTCCAGATAGATGGATCTGGGGGATCGATAGCCCTTCCTGCTGCAGACCCCTGCTCGGACTTCACAGATTGACCCCTTGCTCAGATTCTCCAAAGAGAAGGAAGACAGTGTGGGAAGGGCAAGGCAGACATCCTTCTAGAAGGAAGTATTTTATGGAATCTCAGAGTGGGAGGGCCGTAGAGACTGACTGTCCTGTATCAGTCCATTCGGGTAACCGTGAGGAAATAGCACAGAGTGGGTGGGGTAAGAACAGATGATTATTGTATCACGGTTCTGCAGGCTCCAGGCTGAAGTCAGGGTGTCCGTGAGAGCTCTCTGCTCCCGGGATGCTGTTTCCTTGGTGGCCCCAGGCATTCGTTGCCTTGTGGATGGACACATGTTTATGTCTTCACGTCTCCCAATATTAGAGTCAGCTTTTTAGGGTCACGCCTCCAGCAACGTGGCCTCACCACATGGGACTTCCTTTCCTCCGTCGTCCCAGCATCTTCTCTGTTGTTATTGTTGAATTAACATTTTTATTACGTTACTGGAACTAGCTACACATCCTTCCCTACACACCTAAACTAAGACGTGTACTATGATGATCTTTCTGTCTTATAGAACCTTTTCTCGGGGATCAGTGATAAATGATGTAGCCTTTTCCCCATAGTTTTCCTGGGGCCCATTGCTGATTCCACACCAAGACCTCAGACAGACCCTCTCCAGGCAGTAAAGCCATGCTGGGTCCCGTGGGGTCATCCCTGTGGGGTCCTGTGCATGGGTCATCCCATTGGGGCAGACCCACCGTCTTCTGGCTGGATGGTACATCTTCCTCTCCCTGTTTACCTGCCACTTGCCAAGGTATGCACTCCAGTGTCTTTTTGGCAGGGCTGGGAAGAAAGTCTAATGGCCTTCACTCCACTCTCGTCTTGGTCAGTCACGTGGTTGAGTGGAAACTTCCTGGGTGGAAGTCATTGTCCTTAGCTCTTGGAGGCATTGCTTCCTGATGACCTAGTGTGCATGTTGCTGGTGAGAGGCCGGTGTCATCCTGATTCTCAGCCCTTTCTGATCTCTCTCTGGAAGTGATGGAAACTTCTCTCAGTCTAGGGGCTCTGGTATTTCACACCAGTTTGCCTTGGTGTGTGCATCTTTTTTATATTTTCTATTTGGAGGGGTCAATTGTTGATGTTGTTATGTGCCATTAAGTCTGTTCTGACTTACAGCGACCCTGTGTAGAGTTTCCAAGGAGTGGCTGGTGAGTTTGAACTACAGACTTTGTGTTTAGTAGTCAGGTGCTTATCCTATAGTGCCACACTGACCTTTAAGTCTCGAGAAATTTTCTTGAATTATTTAATAACAGCCTGATGCCAGTTCTACCTCCTTTCATTGATTCTCCATTTCCTTTCTCTACTTTCATGGTAAATTCCTCAACTTTATTTTTTAGCCTTTTGTATCGACTCTTATACTTTCTATTTGTATATTTTTAATTTCAGAAAGCTCTTATTCTCTAAATGTTCATTAAAAAAACAAAACAAAACAGGGAAAGGAGCACCCCGCACTTGGAGTTTCCCTTTTCTTTCAGGGGGTGTTGATTCTCTGGCCTCTGCCTGGTCTTTCCTTGCTCCATGATCCCGTCTGTCTCTGGATTTATAGTTAAGAGGATTTCCTCAGGGATCTATGGACCCTCAGCTTCTGTCCACGTTTAAGAGGGAGACAGTGGACGCCTGAGTAGAGACTCTGTGGGCTGGCAGTCTTTGTCTACCCACGCTTGCTTCTGCCCTGGTCTGGTCCTGTCCCAGTTAGCCCACTGGAAGGTGACTACTGAAGGAGGCTAGAGGCAGCGTCTCTGCATTTGGGGTACAGCTCAGTCCCCCACCAACTGTTACCCTGTGGAACCTCATTGCCTGGCAGGGGGAGTGTTCTAATACTGGGAGGCAGGGTGGGAATCCGGGCTCCCACCCTCCTTATGCTGACTTCCACCAAGACCCATTTTCAGCCACATCCCAGACACTGTCCCCATGGGCACCTGAGTCCCCAGGTTCCAAAGAGCACAGCGGCCCCTCTCCTGCGCTGGGTCTAGGCTTTCCCGTTCTCCTAAATCATGTCCTGCTAGTCCCCACTGCTTCTGCATTCTGTGACATTTCTCATCTGTGTGTCCCCTCTTCATCCTCATGCTTTGTACCTACAGAGGTGTCCTTTGGAGGGTCTGGAAGGGATGGGGAAGAACCCTTGGTTTCCACTGACAGCCTGATTCTAGTTTTACCTTCTCAGGTACTTTCCTCCACATCTAATTTCCCTCTCCTTCCCCAGGTGTCTCCTGCCCTCACGAGCCTCCATTGCTGCAGGAGTGACCCGCAGAGGCCGAAGCAATGGCCGGGGCCTCAGTGAAGGTGGCGGTGCGCGTCCGCCCCTTCAACTCCCGAGAGATGAGCCGTGACTCCAAGTGTATCATCCAGATGTCTGGGAGTACCACCAGTGAGTACAGGAGACACAGGGGGGGTCCACGCTGCCTCTCACACTAAAGGCGCTCCACGTAGATTAAACAGTGTCTGCTTCTCAACTTACTGCCAGAGAGCAGAGTCCAGACCCAGAGCCTGTCCTTCTTTCACTGCCTGGACTTAGCCGGCTGGTTGCATTGGGGCCTGTCCATCAGCTCAGTCTTCTGACAGCTGGACTGCCTCGTTCTCATTTTCCAGGGGACAACAGAGCCCACTCACACACAAGTGCCTATCAGCAGCATGTCCTGCCTACCTGTTGCTGTAGGTTTGCAGGGAGGGGTTGCCAAAGGCAGGGGGTACTTGGTTTTAATGACACTGCTTCCTAGGGGTCCTTCTCCTGGGTGGATGAGGGAGAAGACTGGGGACTCTGGGCTCCTCCAGGGCCTGTGTGAGTGGAGTCTGGGAACCTTTATGCAGAGATCCCCCTTAAATTCAGGGTGTGGCAAGCTCGTGTGTGCTTACTGTTTGGAAAGGTACCCAGTGCACACCTCAGGGCTCATTGCTGCGGTTATGAAAGGTGTATTATTGTGTGACTCCCAGAAACAGGCACTGAGACAAGGATTTAAATGCCAGGGGTGGTTGTGGACGGGGTCAGACTAGGGTGTGGGGATGGGGCAGAGACTGAGGAGAGGTGTGGCTAAACGGGTGACTGCCCTGGGCAACAGGCTCAGCCCTCTTTGGGGGTCCTCTAACATGCCAAACATGTTGCCTTTGAGGGGCCCTCTCCAGCCTCCAGGAGGCGCTGTGTCTAACTTGACTGAGGGCTGGTCCAAGGCACTGACTTTCTAGCCCTTTCGGCTGTACTATCTTGGACTCCTGGTGTGGCACTGTAGGATCAGCACTGGACTTTGAATCATCAGGCCGGAAGTTCAAACCTACCAACCGCTCCTTGGAAACCCTATGCAGAGTTGCACGAGTTGGAACTGATTCAATGACATGTAACAAAAGCATCTTGGCCCAGAGAAAGCCTTCAGGGGGGATGCCATCAGCTGTGCAGAAACTGTGTCCCAAGGTGTCCCTGTGTCTCCGGGTGGGATCGGTGACCCCGAGAGTAGAATGTGAAGCTCTGAGCTCCAGGTAGTTTCTGTGACCCTGGAGGGCAAAAGGCATGCAGACAATGCACCAGCAGACTCTGCTTACTAACAACTCACATCATTGTTAGTTGATCCAGGACTTCAGAAATGTCCACGGAAAATCCCGCCCACCCCAGGGCTATGGCTTGTGGCATGAGGAGCAGTAGGCAGTTCCAACTCCTGACACAGTTTCAGCAAGAACCAAACCTTACCAAGAGTCCCCAAGCCATAGAAAATCACCAAACGCCACTGGGACTGCCAAACCCTCTCCAGACGACCCAAATCTACCAGAGTCACCAGCAAGCCCTACTGGCAACCTGCACAAAGAACTGAGGGGACAAAGCCAGAGGCAGAAACTCCTGTTTCCTGACTCCTGGGAGGGGTCCAGCCCCAGGCTGGGTGTTATCCAGGGCTGGGTGCAGGCTGGAAGAGCAGGTGTCATGGAAGTGAAAAGACAGATGCTCGGGAGGTTGGGGGGGTGGGGGAGAGGTAAGGGTGGGATGCTCGGCCCGGCTGGGAGGGGCTGGAGGAGACAATAGGCAGAGTGGGCCGAGCTCTGCCCCTTTGAAGCATCTGGTGGATGCCGGCAGCCAGAGGGTAGAGGCTGGGAGGTGAGCCACCAAGCCCTGGGAAGTGGGGTAAAGAGCTGCTGACATGGGGGGAGAGCAGTGCTCCATGAAGCCCACCCAGAAGGTCACCACACACCTGCCAGTTCAGACACCAGGCTGTGCCTGCCCCTGTCCCTCATCCTGGGCAAACGTTGAATTTGTGGGCAGCCACTTTTTTTTTTTGTCTAGCCACAGTTTAAAACTAGAGTTTTAATGCAGGTAGGATGTGCCCGCCCTAGGGCTCATCCTGCTTCAGGCACTTGGGGTATCTGGTACCCATCTCACCCTGAAGGTGTTGGAGTTTTGGGATTTCTCCCATGTACCAAAGGTGCAAGACCATCAGCTACTCCGTGGGAGAAGGATGAGGCTTTCTGCCCCTGGATAGATTTACAGTCTCGGAAACCCTGTACAGAGTGGCTGTGAGGACTGAATTCATAGCCACCACCTCCACTGTGTACCAGCAACCGCTATTCCTTAGGATGTTTTCAAGAAGATCCATGTGCACCTACAGGGTCATCAGGGAGATCCCTGCTCCACACTTCTGACCAATAAGCAGAGCCTGAAAGAACTGGCCCGACTCAAAGGCTAGTAAGAAACCCAGCCAAACCAAATGTGTGTGGGGATTGGCACCAAGTTCTGCGGCAGAGGGGAACAGGGATGTGGGCTCCAGAGGCAGAGGGAGAGAGTCAGACGTGAGCTCTTCAGGGATCAGAGACATGTTTTAGATGACACGGATGGCCAGTCCTGAGGAAATGGAGGATCTCACGGCACCATGAAATGATTGCGGGGCAGCAGGGAGTGAGCCACACTCAGCCCCCCAGGTACCAAACAAGCACCATGTGCTAGCATGCAATGCTTTGTGACATCAGGACCAGGATACAAGGGGTGAATGGGCAAACGGGTGTTGGGGAGGTTGACAGGAGACAGAGACTCTGGGCCCTGTTGCTGGGGGTCGCCTGGGGTGGGTGTCGTATGTGGTGATACCAGACTCCATGAGACCCCGTGTAGGGAAGGAGACAGAGAAGACTATCTGACATGTGTTCACTGATGTGCATTTGAGAATGTTCTACTTAGATCTGTTTTTGTTGAGCCAGGGGAAGTCTCCTGACTGTCCCCCTGCGAGAGCTGGTTATTTTATAAGTCCAGTCATTACCAGCCATGACCTTACTTCCACGTGGCTGTCAAAATGAGCCTGTATCCATGGCCGTGGGAAAACATGGGCAAGGGGGCATCGAACAGTGTGAAGAGCAAGATGAAAGAGCATCCATTACATTTCCTCATCTGTGTATATGAGGGTGTGAGTGTGGGAGAGTGTGAACCAATGTGTGAGTGTGTGAGGGTGTGGGTGTGAGTTAGTGTGACGGGGTGTGTGAATGCAAGAGAAAATGAGTGTGTGAGGAAGAGAGTGTGTGTATGCATATCTGTGATAGAAAGTGAGACAATATGAATAATCAGGACAATTCTTATCAAAGCTAGATTTATTTTTATGTTATTAAGTGTCTTCAAGTCGATTCTGACTCATAGCAACCCTGTGTAGGGTACCTGAGGCTTTAAAAATAAAAATCTTTGAGGAAGCAGAAAGCCTCGCCTTTCTCCCGTGGAGTGGCTGGTGGGTTCAAATCTTGGACCTTGTGGTTCATAGTCCAGCGCTTATTGTATGAAGCCACTGTGCTTGGAGAAAGCAAAAACCAGTAGGTCGCTGGTAGAAAGTGCTAGAAACTCTGTGTGAACAGGGATGAAGAGCTGCTGGGATTCAGAAGACAAAAGGGTGCCTCAGGTTAGCCTGCCTGAAGGGATGGCACTAGAGAGAAGAGGGTTAGGGTGTCTGGAGGTGGACTGGGCAGCCTGTCTGCCCTGAGAAGGGTGATGCTCAGCTGGGATTGGGAGAGAAGGGAGCTCGGGTGATGGCTCGGGTGGAGCCGAGCTGCTCTGGCTGATGTGAGCAGGATCCTGTGTGGAGGGTGGCAGGTGGCAGGTGGCAGGTGGTCAGGCCCGCCTGCCCCGCCCGCTCAGAGATCTCTCAGAACTTGGCATACACAAAGACACTCGGCTCTCTCAAGTAGGCCACTTGCAGCCCCACTAGAAATGTTTAAAAGTAAATTTAATTTGTCATCATATAATCACTGCCTAGATAAATAATACTTTTCATTCCAACGTACCAAACCTAGCAATTTTAGGAGCCGGTAAAATAACATATAATGTGGGCCCGTCCCTGATGGGCAGCCCTAGTGTGGGAGGCTGACGTACAGAATTCACTTGCACACCATTCCATGCTCTCACGGTACGGAGGACAGACTTGGAAACTTGTAGACAGTTCCCATTCCTCTTCCCTTCACTTCTGAGTTACTGCTCTGCAGACCCTCGAGATGCCTGGTGATGGCCTTTGGCCCCACCAGAGAATCACACCCAACACAAGCCCCCTGCAGTGAATTCCGGGCTAGTCTAGAATGAAGGGCTGGGATTCAGGGGGGTCCCTGTGGACCTCAGTTTCCCCATGGGTCCTAACAGCAGTGGGGGTGATGGTGCTTGATGCTCCTTGAACCCAGATAAATTATTTCTGAGCCCTTCCAAAAGCCGCATCGGAGACCCAGGGTCAGGGTTGTCTTTTGTCCTGACTGTGTTCTCCAAGTAAAGGTGGGGACACTGGATGAGAAGGAGATAAGCTGGGGGTCCACCCAGGCCTTCTCCATCCTCCCCACCTCACCCCCACCCCACAGCTGTTTTGATCCACTGAAAGCCCATCTCTGCACCAATGGTGCCAGTGGAGGGAGCGGGTCCCAGACAAAGCTGCAGAGGGCATGTGGCTGGGCTCTGCCTTCCATCAGCCCTATGGGGCCTCACCTTCCCACCTCTGGCCATTTTCCTGGACCCTAGTTTTTGTATGCTCCTGGGACCACAAGTGAATAATTGGCGCATATTGAAGTAGGATTGCGCTAACTGCTCCCCAAGACCCTAGGAGTGTCTTACATGTGTCTCCTGCAACCAGGCAACCACAAAGTCCTGTATGTTTTGGCAAGTTCAATAAAAATCTCCACTCCTCCAAAAGAGCAGTCTACAATTTGTCTATGTTGTTGTTAAGTGCCAATCAAGTTGATTTCAACCCATAGCGAACCCTGTATAGGATTTCCGAGGAGCAGCTGGTGAGTTTAAACTGCCGACCTTGCAACTTTGCAATCTGGTGCATTAACCCACAGTGCCACACTATACAATCGATGAATTTAAATTATAGTGTTGGCAAAGAATATTGAATATATCATGGACTGCCAGAAAAACAAACAAATCTGTGATGGAAGACGCAAAGCCAGAATGCTTCTTAGAAGCCAGGATGGTGAGACTTTGTCTCATGAACTTTGAACATATTGTCAGGAGGGACCAATCCCCAGAGAAAGACATCATGCTTGTTAAAGTACAGAGTCAGCAAAAAAGAGAAAGATCCCCAATAAGAAGGCCTGACCCAGTGGCTGGAACAAGGGGCTCATAGGAAGACTGTGAGGATGGCCCAGGACTGGGCAGTGTCTCCTGTTGGACATCGGGTTGCTATGAGTTGGAGCTGACTCAACAGCATCTACCTACAACATGGCATAAATACTCCACTCTGGATACATGCAATCTCCAGCTACCACCGTCAGCGTCCAGAAGGAGCCAGCAGGCACACTGTGTTCATGGTGTTCACTGTATGACGACATGCCACTCAGCTCAGGAAACCGCTCAGTTACGTTCCTTTTCTCCGCCCTCCGCATGCACTAGCCCTCACTTCTTTGTCCTTCTTCTGGGCACAAACCCTTTGTGTCTCTTGTTCAGAACCCTGGGAAACTTGACCGTGGTGTTGGGAGGGCTTGGGAGGACAGCAGGAGTGGGGAGGGAGTCTTAATGAGCTGGTCAGAGCCAGTCCGCACAACAGGGTCCTGACCCATTTGTTCCTCTTCAAGCCAGCCTCAGGGAAAGCCAGCTGAAGGGTCACTTCCTCGGGAACTCAGCTTGTTCCCTGCAAGTTGAGCTGGGAAAGAGGGGCTGCAGGAAGCTTCCGAGGCTTAGAGGTGTCTGAAGAGAGTAGGCCTGGGGGACTCTGGGTACCAGTTCTGCTGTGTGACCTGGAGAGAGGACGTCCCCTCTTTGGGCTCAGGGTCCCAATGACAAAGGCTGTTTCCCATCCAGACCACAGGACAATACAAGGGGGGTGGGGGAAGGGTAGAGCTAAAGTGGGAATGGGGAGCAAGTGGGGAAGGCCTAGTGTCTCTCCGGTGGTGGACACACTCACCACTTATGTGGACCACCCTGGCTGCTGTGTTCTGCACAACACCTGTTTCTGTCCCTGGGGGGACACCACCGTAGGGAGCACCCCCGTCCTTGTTGGGTGCACAGCAAACACCCCCGGCAGCAGGACACCATCAGAGCAGGATTGGAGACTCAGGGGGGACAAGGGTTCCTGACTGTAGTGCAGGGGCTGGGTGAGCGTGATCCTGAGGCAGAAGGGGAGCGATTGTCATTTCCATGATGATGCTGCATCCTCGAGCTGGGATTCTGGTGGTTTTGTCTGGGTCCCCGCAGCAGCTGACACCAGACCGCCTGTTGTCTGTCTCTGTTCCTGGAGTTGCCAGGAGTGATGCTCCCTGTCTGCCCTATTGGTCAGTCACTTCCTCCTGCTGTCTCTATACCAGTGGTGGTTCCAAATGTGTGGGGCAGACTCTGGGGGCACCTGACCTGGCCCTGGCCTGGGGAGGGGGCTTCCAGGTGCCTTGCAGTTCTGAGGGATGGACACTGATCCTGGTCACGGGTTGGTCTGACCACAGAGATTTGTGTGGAAGGAGACATATACGACTGACCCATGGGTTCTGGTCACAAGAACAGAGCCTAGAATGGACCTAGGTTCCCCAGCAGGATACTGAGCGAGGTGTGTGGGGTCCACAATAGTGGCAGGTGGCACCCCCACTCAGACTGAACATGGGGGGGTGGCTCCCAGATGCGTCTACAGCTGTGTGTGCAGTGCAGCTGGGACCTGGCGTAAAGAGAGGCTGTGAACCCCAGCTGAACTGCAAGAAGAGACCACACTGGGCTCCCTTAGGGGTTTGAGTCCAGTGGGCATTTCAGTGGGGATTGCAGGCCGCCAAGGGGCGTCAGCATCAGTGGGCTTCACAAAAAAGAGGTTTTCCCGGCCAGGTTCTGTCCCATGAGGACCCTTGAAGACCCCCTTCCTGTTGTGGGGTGCAGGTTCCTGGGCTAGATCTGTCCACGTGCACCGTCTTTAGGGGCCCCTCCCCCACACCCTTTTTAACCGTGTGGCCTCCATCTGCAGCCATCGTCAATCCCAAGCAGCCCAAGGAGACACCCAAGAGTTTCAGCTTCGACTACTCCTACTGGTCCCACACCTCGGTGAGCCAGCTGTGACTCTGGGGGCTGGGGTGGGCTCAGTGTGCAGTGCTTAGTGTATGGCCCAAGCTCTAGCCGCTGCTGGCCTCTGACCAGTCCCCTCCCTGCTTCTCAGCCCGAAGATATCAACTACGCCTCCCAGAAGCAGGTGTACCGGGACATCGGTGAGGAGATGCTCCAACACGCCTTCGAGGGTTACAATGTCTGCATCTTTGCCTATGGGCAGACAGGCGCTGGCAAGTCCTACACCATGATGGGCAAGCAGGAAAAGGACCAGCAGGGCATCATCCCACAGGCACGAGGCTGGGGACAAGCAGGGATCAGGCGGGATAGGGAGGGGGGAAAGCAGGAAGGAGGCTGGGGACAAGCAGGGATCAGGCAGGACAGGGAGGGGGACAAGCAGGGATTAGGCGGGACAGGGAGGGGGACAAGCAGGGATCAGGTGGGACAGGAAGGGGGACAAGCAAGCACAAGGCTGGGGACAAGCAGGGATCAAGTGGGACAGGGAGGGGGACAAGCAGGAAGGAGGCTGGGAGACCCAGCTGGCATCTCACAGGGCAGCCTAGGAAAGACTTGAAGCCCCCTCTGCTTTGATAAGTGGGGAAGGTGGGCTCTGGACTAGCTTCAAGGACTGAAGGCCTGGGTCCTGGGATGGAGAGGTAAGGGACCGTGGACAGACCGTGCCCACCTACCCACATACGTCTGTGGTCCCAGCTGGCTACTGTTTTGCCTAGTCAGGGAGGAGGATCGCACCAAGCCAGCTCCTCTCAGTGAGATGGACAGGGTGTCCCCCTCCCCATGCACATGAGGCCTGGGTCTGGGGAGAGGAGATGTCGGTGTGATCCATGTCTAAGGTAGGCCTGGGGACCCTGACAGAGCAGAATAATGTGGACTTGGTTTGCCACAGGCCTTATCAGTGGAAGTAATGGTGAGCGGGCCAGGCCCTGGGCATGTTGCCTAGGGCATGCTGGGGGATGTGGTTCTGGGGCCCCCAGTGGCCCCCAGCCCTGTGACCTGACAGATCTCTGCCTTTTCTTCACATTCCTGTTGTCGATACAGCTCTGTGAAGACCTCTTCTCCCGGATCAATGACACAACCAATGACAACATGTCCTACTCTGTGGAGGTGAGCCCCCTCTTGCTGTCTGGGCTAAGCCCCCTCTTGCTGTCTGGCCCAAGCCTGTGAGTCACCTGCCCATGTGACATGAACCATGTGTCGGTGGGTGGGCTGGGAGCTGAGTCCCCCTCACATATCTTCAGGGTCTCCTCTGGGGGTGGGTGTCTGAGGTTGATGGCGGGCCCTCTGGGCTGTAGGTCAGCTACATGGAGATTTACTGCGAGCGAGTCCGGGATCTCCTGAACCCCAAGAACAAGGGCAACTTGCGTGTGAGGGAGCACCCACTTCTGGGACCCTATGTGGAGGACCTCTCCAAGCTTGCTGTCACCTCTTACAACGACATTCAGGACCTCATGGACTCTGGGAACAAGGCCAGGTGTGTGAGGGGAACCCTGAGACTGCCCTGCCCCCAGTCCACTGTGACCATCTTTAAAGAGGACACGCCCACCTGTCTCACCTGCCACCCTGTCACCTGTAGGGGGCGCTGCCACCCACAGCTGCTCCTTGTTAGGGTGTCCACGAGGCCACTCTGCCGAGGACCCTGTTGTCCGATGGCTGGCCTCATGAGTCACCCCCTCGCTTTCTGGGGGAATGGAGGTGACATTCCGTCCCGCTGTCTCCAGGACCGTGGCAGCCACGAACATGAACGAGACTAGCAGCCGCTCCCATGCTGTCTTCAACATCATCTTCACCCAGAAGCGCCACGACGCGGAGACAGACATTACCACGGAGAAGGTGGGAGACGGGAGGGAGGGTGCCCGGAATGCGAGGCCCTGGAGTGGAGGGGCTCGGGCATTGACGGGGTGGTGGTGGGGTGGGCTGGGGGGTGGGCCCGTCCTTTCCTTCTCCTCCCCCTATCCCTCCCTGGTGCCATCTGGGCACAGCCCGCATCCAGCTGGGGGAGGGTCCCGTACCGGAGTTGTAGACAAAGGCTGGGAGTCCTGGGGGTCTCAGTGTATGTGTGGGGAGGAGGTAGAGAGGCCTAGAGGGTGTCCTTCCCTGCTGGCAGCCAAGGGCCAGCTCCACAAGAGAGGAGGCGGGGCTCTGAGCTGTAAGGCGGGGCGTTCTGTGGCCACCCCGCCCTCATGTTGGGTGACCCCGCCCCTGACGGCCGCCATTCCCTCCCCCACTCACCCCCACCCACCATGCCTACCCTTGGGGTCCTGGCCGGCTATGTGCCTGCTCTGTTGTCCCTTGAGCACCAAGGGCCCAAGTACAGTTGCCCTGAGGGGGCTGAGCGGTGCCGGGTTCGAATCTCAGCAGAGACAGAGGTGGTAGCGACAGGTGGTGGTGGTGGTTGTGCACCGTGGAGTCGGTTCCGACTCATGACGACCCTGTACAGGGTTTCCGAGGCTATAAATCTTTATGGGAGCAGAAATCTTCATCTTTCTCCTGGGGAACAGTTTCGAACTGCTGACCTTGAGGTTAGCAGCCCGATTTGTAACCACTGGAGCACCCTCCATTGCAGGTTAGCAAGATCAGCTTGGTGGACCTGGCGGGCAGCGAGCGGGCTGACTCCACTGGTGCCAAGGGCACACGCCTCAAGGTAGGGGGGACATGTGACCCACCCTACCCACCCAATCAGAGGGGCCCCAGAGATCCGGGGGGCTGGCTACATGGCTGTCCAGTCCCCTGAGGGAGACACCACCACAGCCCTGGGTGTCAAGAAGCGAATCCCTATGACCAGAGGGAGATCCTGGGCCCTGGGCTTCCTGTGAATCCTGTGGCCCTGGGGTGGTGGCTTAGACCCCTGAGGGCCTGGCCCTGACCATCTTCTCTGCCCACAGGAGGGAGCCAATATCAACAAGTCACTGACCACGCTGGGCAAGGTCATCTCAGCTCTGGCCGAAATGGTGAGCTGACTTTGGGTGCTACCAAGATGCCTCCTATTCCGCCCTCCTCGGGGGATGTTAGGAACCCATCACACCTCTGGCCGCCCCTGAGACAGCCAGAGATGAGGGATCAGGAAGCCAGAGGTGGACCCGGGAGCCTCCATTTCCTGTCAAATGTGGAGGGCCCACACTGCCACCTTCCTCCCAAGGGTCTGCTGAGGGTCACTACTGGCCTGATGAGCATGCTGTTGGTGTCAGCTCTGACCCTGCGGCAGCCCTGGCTCTGGGTGGTAGGCTCAAGGGATAGGCAATGCTGTCCACTCATTAGAAGGCCCAGGTCTCCGGCCTGGAAAAGGCCCATTCCAGAAGGCCCCCCTGCTCCGAGGGAGTGAGAGCTGCGGGTACCTGAGGCCTCAGCCTGCCTGTCAGGACCACAATGTCCTGGTCGTGGGGCCCTGGTCTCCCTTCACGCCTCAGACACTTTCTGTTTTCTCTTTCAGGACTCAGGGCCCAACAAGGTAAGCTGCCCTTGTCATGTCTCATGGCGCAGGGTCACTGCCTGCAGGAGAGGGGCCTGGAAGAAACGTGTCTGTGGCCTCAGCTCTCCCTGGGATGGCCACCCGTTCTGCCCAACGCTAGGCCAGGCGCTGTGCTGGGAGCTGGGCTGTAGTGGTGACCATATGGGAGAGAGATGGGACCACAGGTCAAACAAGACCTGCCAATACCAATACAATTACAGATGGACATGGACCCATAAAGGAAGGAGCTGGACTGTGAGGAGGGCAGTCTGTAAGAGGGATGGGTTTTAGTCTGAGTGCCCAAGAGTTTCTCAGACCAGAGACCTGAAGGGTGGCGAGGAGTCAGGCAGACAGGAGGACGAGCATCTGTGTCATGAAGGAGGACGACCTACGTGAGGGAGTGTGTGGGGACCATGAGAGGAAACATGTGAGGGGCTGACAGCAACTATGAAGACATGTGGGAAAGTGTGGAGCAGTGAGAAAGCGCGTGAAGCGTTGTGTGGACACTCAGACACTGAGGACTGGCGGGGAGCTGTGTGAGAAACTGGACCTGAGAGGAACTTTGTGAAGACGTGTGTGTGTGTGTGTGTGTGTGAAGAATTTTGAGGAACTGTGTGTGGAATGGTGTGAGGAACAGTGCTGAGTGAGAACAACTGTGTACAACTGCGTGGTCGGGTACTGAGAACTGAGGGCACTGTGAGGAATGGTGTGCGGGTCAGTGGGAACTGCATGAAGGGCTGAAGGACAGCAGAGGAACTTTGAGAGGGAGCTCAGGGAGCTGTGAAGGACCGTGGGGAGCTCTGTGGGCAGCTGTCCCAGATCACAGGGGGAGAACCGTGAGGAAATGCAGGAGAGAAGAGGGGGAAGAGCCGCCCGAGGAATTGGGTGAGAAGCCCTGGGAAACATCCTGCGGGGCTGTGTGGGAAATGGTCAGAGGAAAGGCTCTTGGTGAGGAGTTCTGAAGAACTGAGAGTACCCAGGGAACTATGGGAGGACCTGTTGAAGGGTTGTGTAGGGAAGCACGTATGTGGGGCTGTCTGACAGATTGTGAAGAACCGCACGAGGAACTGTGTGTGGACCTGTGTTAACAGTTGTGATGAAGTGTGTAGAACTGTGTGAGGAATTCAGAGGAACTAGGGAGCCTTCTAAGAAGCCCTAGTGGGGTGCTGTAGATCGGCACTGGACTGCGAACCACAAGGTCAGCAGTTCAAACTCACCGGCTGCTCCTCAGAAACCCTATACAGTGTGGCTATGAGTCGGAACCGACTTGATGGCACTTAAGAGCGACAACAACAAAGATTCACAGCTTCGGGCACTCTAGACAGGGTCACTGAGTCAGAATCCATTGATGGTAGTGGGTTTGGGTTGGGGGGTATGAAGACTTCCAGGAGGCACAATGTGAGACCATGAGGAACTCTGGGAAATCTGTGAGGTGCACTGGGTGAAGCTGAGGGGAACTCTGGGAGAGATCATGTGTGAGGACATGTGTGGGGGCACTTCTAGGCCCTGTTTGAGAACATGTATGACACCATGGTGTAACTCTGTGAGGTACAGCGTGAGGACGTGTTTAAAACTGTGGGGAACTGAGGCACTGTGTGACACTGTGGAGGAACTCTTGGGGGATTGTGTGAGGCTATGTGTGGAACTGGGTAAGGAATTTGGTGGGGGACTTTTAAAGACATGTGTGAAGCTGTGGGGGCCACTGAGGGACTGTGGGAGGACATGTGTGGAATTGGCTGGAAGTCTGTGAGGGTCTGTGTGACACTTGGGGATGTGAGGAGACCGTTTATGAGGACATGGGTGTAGGTGTGGGGCGAACTCTGTGAGGAAGAGCACGTTCTGTGCATCCCGGAGGGTAAGCCGAGTCATGGCAGAGTCTGGGGGGCCTGGGACTCCACAGTTAGTTGAGAAGCGCTTGTGGAGGGACAGAGTCGCCACTTCTGGGCCCAGATTGTGTGCTGGACAGACAGTGGGCGGAGGAACCTTGTCCTGGATTCTGGGCCGCAGTGGAGGCATCAGGGGTTCAGGCCGGGAGAGGCTGTGGGTGCCTGGGTACCTCCCTGTTCACAGACTCCCTGAGGACCCTCCAAAACCATCGGCTTTTGGGAGCTGCGCAGGCAGACCTTGCTGCACTTCCCTCCTCCTCCTCTCGGGGGCTCAGGGTTGACCCCTTGAATGCTTCTCCCTTATCAGAACAAGAAAAAGAAGAAGACCGATTTCATTCCGTACCGAGATTCTGTGCTGACCTGGCTCCTCCGAGAGAACCTGGGTAAGACTTCACAGGGTGGCAGGGGCCGCGCGTCCCGCTCTAGCTGGGGCCACCAGCTGTCTCTTCGTCCTACTGGGATGGGTTGTCCACCCACCAGCACACCTCTCACCATCTCTTGCTCGGGAACCACGATAGTCCCATGGGTTCCACAAAACGCACTTACTGGTGCCAACACTCCTGGTTCAGATGGCTGTGAGACCCAGACCAAGTCCCTGCCCCCTGGGCCTCAGTTTCTCCAAGCGAAAGAGTGGGTCTCGGACTAGATGATTGTGGAGAGCCGTTGTGGCACTGTAGGGTAAGCACTGGACTGCTACCAACAAGGTTGGTGGTTCACACCTGCCGGCTGTTCCTCAGAAACCTTATATAGGGCTGCTATGAATCGGAACCAACCTGACGGCCCACAAGAACTGTTGGCTCGCTGTGTTTTGAGGGACGTGATAAAGCACTTCTCCCACCTGTGTTCTGAGCCAACGAGACATAGGTGGGGAGGGGCTGGCCGATGGACCCTGAAATATGTCCCCCCTCCCCCTTCCCACCGATCCCTTTCCCTGCAAAATGACCTTGTGATCCTCCCTGGCTATATATACATTTTGGTAGGTGGGAACCCACTGAGAGTGGGCTCCCTGACCTTCCTTAGAAGCATGGCTGAGGTGTGTGGAGCTCCAGCTGGCTGGTCCTGCACCCTAGAACCGGCCAGGCTGACCCCCCACTCCTGACCAGTATGAAGTGCCTGGGCTTGTTTCCTAGGAGAGGAGGGGGCATATAGGAGGCTGACCCCATGAGCCAGGACAAAAGTGTCACAGGCATGTGTCTCCCTTCACCTGAAGAGTTGGGAAGGAGCCCCCTCCCACCAAGTCGATCCTCTGGAGCGTGAAGGAGACCCCAGGGTGAGGGCAGGGGTGCTCCCTGAACTCTTCTTAGGGCTGTTACAACAGAAAGAGCACACGGGAGTGGTTTTGAAAACTGAGATGTAGTTCCTCACAGTTTAGGAGACTAGAAGTTCAAATCAGGTCCCCAGCTCTCTTCTCGGAGGGAAAACTCTCATCTCAGCTTCTGGAGTATTCTTTGTGTCTCCACATAGCGGCTGTCTTCCCTCACCTCTGCTGGCTTCTATGCCGAGTCGGCTCCTTTGACATCTCAAAAGTAATTGATTTAAGAGCTCTTAAATGATGGGACACATCTGCCACAGAAGACTTTTTTTAAAAAAAAAGTGTTGAAGAGCAAAGATGTCAGCTTGAGGACTAAGGTGCGCCTGACCCAAGCCATGGTATTTTCAATAACCTCATATGCATGCAAAAGCTGGACAGTGAATAAGGAAGATTGTAGAAGAATTGATTCCTTTGAGTTGTGGTGTTGGAGGAGAATACTGAAAGTGCCATGGACTGCCAAAAGAACCAATAGATCCATTTTGGAAGAAGTGCAGCCAAAGTGTTCCTTGGAGGCCAAGATGGCTAAACTTCATCTCTCATACTTTGGATATATTGTCAGGAGGGACAAATCACTGGAGAAGGACATGTTTGGTAAGGTGGAGGGTCAGAGAAAAAGAGGAAGAACCCCAGTGAGATGGATTGGCCAAGTGGCAGTATTGATGGATTCAAGTGAGGCAACAGTAGTGAGATTGGCCCAGGATCGGGCAGTGTTTTGTTCTACTGTGCATAAGATTGCTATGGTTCGGTACCGACTCGATGGCACCTAACAGCAACAATAATGCTGTTGTTAAGTGGCTTTGAGTTGGTTCTGACCCATAGTGACGCTGTATAGTGTTTCTGAGGAGCAACTGGTGAGCTTGAACCGCTGACCTTGTAGTTCAAACCGACTTTAAAGTCTGGCACATTAACCTGCAGCGCCACACCAAGACTCAATCCACATGCATAGGGGTTAGGATCTACTAGATATATTTTGGGAGGTCAGTTCACTCAGAAACATGGCCCTACATGGTGTCCTGCTCTAGGCCCTTCACATGGCATTTCACATCCTTGTGGAGACTCGCTGGGAGTCTCCCCCTGGAGAGGATGGCCCACGGACACAGGCACGTGAGGTCAAGCAGGTGAGGCATGGGTACACAGACAGGCCAAGGTGTTGAGGATATGGCTAAGTGGGTCCGTGGGCAGGCCTTGTCAGATTGGCCCCTGCCCAATAATCACTCCATTGGCTGCTGGTGGTGGCTGCGTGCCATCGAGTTGGTTCCACCTCATAGCAACCCCGTATGGAGTTTCCAAGGCTGTAAATCTTCATGAGAGCAGAAAGCTTCGTCTTCTTCATGTGGAGTGACTGGTAGATTCAGCTACTGACCTTGCGGTTAGCAGCCCAGTTGGACGTCCACTGTGCTGCCAGGGCTCCTTATTCACGCCATTGTACATGTGCCATCGGGTCAGTTCTGACTCACAGTGACCCTGTACGGGGTTACCAAGGAGCGGCTGGCGGGTTTGAACCACCAACCTTGTGGTGAGCAGTCCAATGCTGCTCCTACAGCACCACACCAGGACCCCAGTCACTCCATTATGGGTCTTATATAGGGTAAATCTCCTTATTGAAAGTACCTCTGGGCCCTGCAGATGATTTAGTGACAGACTAAATTGGAACACTTCATTTTATCAGATGTGTTAAGTTCCCGATGCTGGCTCCAGGCTGCCCTTGGCTAGGAATCTGACATTAAATACTGTGAAAAAGATTTCAAACAAAATGACAAAGTGTGCGAACCCATTAATGGACCCCAACAGTCTTAATCATGGAGTAATGGCCACGTTACTTTTTATGGGCAGGGGCAGCCTGGTTGCTGTAAAATGGCCCCGGATGTAAGTACAATGCTGTGTAGGAGAAAGATCATGGAGGGGAGGGACCTGGTGCCGTGCAGAGGGGTGGCCAGGGAAGGCCAGTTGTCTGCATTTACCAGGCCAGCCCATGACTCCACTCCTCTCTGAGTCTCAGGCTACACAGCTGAGATGTGGTGGAGGGACCTCATGGTCATCTTAGGAGAGGACAGAGCAATGGTGCCTAGAACCTCTGGTGTCTGTCCCCCAGGTGGTAACTCGAGGACAGCGATGGTGGCAGCCCTGAGTCCTGCAGACATCAACTATGATGAGACGCTAAGTACACTGAGGTGGGTTCTCCTGCCTGGGGTGGGACTGGAGACTTCTGTGACTGGGTTGGAACCCCCACTAAGAAGGGTGTGCTCCTTAGGGGGTCTCACCTGTGTGGCTTCAAGTGGCTGCTCCAGGGCTCTCCGTTCTGTTCCCACTGCCCTATGGGCTGCGCTTTGTCGCCGAGGGCATGAGAGGGCCTGTACCATAACATTGGCAAACTCTCTGTCCTGGGTTAAGTCACATGCACACCTGCTGACAGTGGAAGAAATAGAGGTTTTTGGATTAGGTAGAGGGTGTCCTGGGGTGGGGCACCTGGCCCCGTGGCCCCACAGGATGACGCTTGGGTGGTTGGGTCCCACCAGCAGTAGGAAGACGTCTAGTTAAATGTCCTTGTTTAAAGAGCATCTGGGCATGTTAGCTTATGCGTGATACAGGTACAACATAGGTACACGAACCAGTTTTCCTCTCACTCCTGCCCCCTTGTGGTTGGACTTGCTCCCTCCTCCACGGGACCACAGGCTTCCTACTGAACCCTTTAACATCAGGAGACCACACCACCCTGTCCCCAGGTCTCAGCTTCCCTGAGTGGGGGCTGTTGGCCCAACCTGTACGTCTCCCCTGGTCAGTGGCCCAGTGGCCGCCCCCACTGCCTCACAGGTGGGGTGGCTGCTCATTTCACGCCAGGCTGTACCAAAGCTACGGAGGTGCCCACACAGCTGGGTGTGCCAGGCCTGTCCCAGCCATAGCCCACACCTGCCTTTGGTGTCCAGGTACGCTGACCGGGCCAAGCAGATCCGCTGCAATGCCGTCATCAATGAGGACCCCAACAACAAGCTGATTCGCGAGCTGAAGGATGAGGTGACCCGGCTGCGGGACCTGCTGTACGCCCAGGGTCTCGGCGACATCACAGATGGTGAGGACCCATCTGGGCAGGGCAGGCTGCAGACCTCAGATACAAGGAGCTTTGAGACCGCTTATGGCCAAGGTCTGCGAGACATCGCCACAGTGGGCGCCACCTGGTCCAGGCTGGGCAGCGGGCTCCGAGCTGTGGGCCCTGCTGTACTTGGCAGGGTTTGGGCCACATCCTGGACTGTGAATGGCTGTCTGACCCGGCCCAGGCCAGCGGCCCTCAGACTCACTGTCTGCACGCTGTGCTCTTGGGGCACACCACCTCTGGGTGGGAGGCCAGGGTGTGGGCTCATGACCCTTGGCCCAAAGGGAACTTCCTGATTTGGGTTTGGTGCTGGCCCCAGCTGGCCAGAAGTGTTTACCTGGAAGCTGCTCCATCAGGAGAAGGCTCTGGGCTGTGGGGTGGGGTGGGGGTAGGTGGGGGGGAGGTCCCTGTGCTGAGGCTACCAGCCCTGCTCCTGGCTGCAGGATCCCTAAGACAAACCTGCTCTTCTGTTTCTGTCTCTCCTTCCCTGCGCCTCTCCCGCCTTAGCCAACACTGTGCCCGGAGGACCTAAATGTGTGTATTCCCCACCCCTCTGCTGCCCATGCTCTGCTTGCTCCAGCCCCCTTGGGCCCAGGGCAGCACACTGGGCAGGGGCTGGCCTGGGAGGGGGAGGTCTGAGGCCCGCTCTGCAGTTAGGGCCTCCCTGTGGGTAGGGCCGCCCACCCCTGGTCGCCTGATTTTACATGAGGCCTGGAGCCCCTTTCGGGTGGAGCATACCCTTCTCAAACCACAAGTGGCCGGCCAAGGCCAGGCCCTCTGACCACCTGTGCTCCAGAGGCCTGTTGTTAAGTGTGGTTGAGTCCATTGTGATGCATAGTTACCCTGTGTAGGGTTCTGCAGATCGGCTGGTGAGTAGGAACTGCCGACCTTTCCGTTCCAACTGACCTTCTGGTCTGGTTGCTTACCCGACACACCAGGACCCTGGAATGTCGGTGCCTCAGACCCCTGTGGACACCAGGCAGCCTGGCCCCTCTCGACCCCCTAAATTTCTCCAGCCCACCCCTCTGTGCCCCAAGGCCCCTCCCTAGAAGCACTCACCTTGGCTCTGACAGACCCTCAGCCTCCTGTTGGCTTCGGCCAGGCCCCAGGGCCTATGAGAGGGTTGGGCTCCCACCTCTGGGGGAGCAGGCAGCCTCAGTTTCCCTGCCCTTGCTGCCCCATGCTTGCTGCTGCTCTGCTGTGTGTCTGCTTCTGCCAGGAAGGGCCTGGCACCCCAGCCCACTAGGGGTCACAGCCCCTTTTGACTTTGGAGGCATCAAGTCATGTATTGGGGGCTCTCAGAGCTCCCAGTACAATCTCACGGGTGGAGAGAAGGGGCTTCGCAGTGGTCCTTGGCTCACCTCCCTGTTCCACCTTCTGCACCCAGATGCTGATGGGTGCAAGTGTGAGGGATGTGGGCCAGTGATGCCCTGTACCATGAGGTCACAGCACAGGGCGGGGGCCAGGAAAGGGCAGGGTCAGGGCAGGTCCGGGTGCCTTGTCAGCCGGGTGGGGGCCCTGAAAGCAGACGGGAGAAGGCAGGACAGACATCGGGGGTGGCATGTGCTGTCCGCTGACAGGGGCTTGGCTGCCCCATGCTGCGCTGGCTTTGCCTCTGCCCCTGTTGACCCGAGCTTCTCTAGTGTCTCTTCTATCTGTCTGTCAGTCTGCTACCCTGCGCAGATGGGCTGACCTCCGGAACAGTAACCCTGGAGGCAGCGGGCCAGCCTGTTCACATCCCTGTCCCTGTCTCCACAGTGACCAACGCCCTGGTAGGCATGAGCCCCTCGTCCTCGCTCTCAGCTCTGTCCAGCCGTGCCGCCTCGGTGTCCAGCCTGCATGAACGCATCCTGTTCGCCCCTGGCAGCGAGGAGGCCATTGAGAGGCTGAAGGTGAGGCTGGCTACACGATCCCCTCCCACCAAGGACCAGGGTGGAGTGGCCAACAGAAGGCCTGGTGGGGGGAACAGACAGGACACAGGGCTGGGACCGGGTACCCACAGCTCCAGTCAACTTGGTCCCTCCGGGAGGCCAGGGCCAGGGCCTGCACATGTTGGACCAGTGGCCAGACAGGCCAACTGGCAAGAAGCGCCCCCTGAAGGTGGGACATCCGCAAGGCCAGACCTGAGTGTGCGCAGTGGAGAGGAAGGGACCCAAGCCTTGGGGCTGTTGTTCCTGCCAGAGCGGGAGAGTCCCTGTCTCGCACCCTGCCCTCTCTCCCCAATGCCCATCTGTCCAGCAACACACCAAGTGTCCCAGTGTTGAAAGCAGAGACCTCCTTCTGGAGCGTTTTGTGTGATACGGCGCATTTGTACGGCCACCTGAGCCCTGGGGCCCACAGCCGCTCTCCCTGCTTCCCATCCATGCGCACTGGCAGCAGGCTGGGTGGACCAGGAGGGGGAGATGGAGGGTCGGACCCCAGGTGGTAGAGGGCTGGAGGAGTTTGTGGCCTTGGACATGGATTGTGGGGGGCCCACTTGGTGTGTGGCGGGAGGGGAGTGTCCTGAATGGGCATGCTCCCCAGAGTGCTCAGCGGTGGAGGGACAGTGAGTCCAAGGAGCCACGTCTTGTCTCAGGGTCCTTTTCTACTCTCCCCTTCCCCATGGGGATGTCTGAAGACCCTGAGCCCCACAGTGGTCCTGTCTGTCCCTCTCTCCGCTGACCCTGTCCCTCCCTGCTGTCTGGTCCCAGGAGACGGAGAAGATCATTGCTGAGTTGAATGAGACCTGGGAGGAGAAGCTGCGGCGTACGGAAGCCATCCGGATGGAGAGGTGGGGTGGACAGCCGGAGGTCACGGGAAATGAGGGCGGCAGCTAGCCAGCTTATGGAAATGGGGGTGGGGAGCCAGGGGCTCATTACAACTGGGGGCAGGCAGGGGATCACAGAAACTGACGGTTTGGCAGCTAGCTCATGGAAATGGGAAGAGGGGAGAAGCAGCGAGGCCATGGCAACTGAGATGAAGGAGAGCCAGTGGATCATGGAACCTAGTGTGTGCATGTGGGCGATCCAGGGGACCACAGAAACGGGACAGGGAGAACCAGGGGACCACAGAAACTGGACAGGGAGATATAGGGACCACAGAAACCGAGGGTGGGGTAGGGGAGCCAGGGGACCACAGAAACTGGACAGGGAGACCCAGGGGACCACAAGAACCGGGGGTGGGGTGGGGTGAGCCAGGGAACCACAGAAACCAGGGGTGGGGTGGGGGGAACCAAGGGACACAGAAACGGGACAGGGGGATCCAGGGGACCACAGAAACTGGACAGGGAGACCCAGGGGACCACAGGAACCGGGGGTGGGGTGGGGGGAGCCAGGGGACCACAGAAACGGGACAGGGAGATATAGGGACCACAGAAACCGGGGCCAGAGGCAGGGCAGAGCCAGGGGACCACAGAAACTAGATAGGGAGACCCAGGGGACCACAGAAACTGGAGAGGGAGATATAGGGGACCACAAAAACTGGGGGAGGGGTGGGGATCACAGAAACAGATGGGGGCAGCTTGTGAGCTCACAGTGAGGCACTTAGTTTCGGTTCTGGCTTCCTGCCTCCTGGGACTCCACATCCCAGATTCGGGACCAACTCACCCCCACCCCCACCGTGCCACCACTGAATTCCAGTGGGCAGGGTGCAGACCTGCACAGGGTTCAACGTGTGTGTGTGGGGTAATGCATACACTGCTCTCATGAACGCAGCCTCAGGGCCCCTCGCCCATGCAGAACAGGCAGCGAAGCCTGGGGGTTATGCTGACCCCGCTTCTGTCCCCAGGGAAGCGCTGCTGGCCGAAATGGGTGTGGCCATGAGGGAGGACGGTGGCACCCTGGGTGTGTTCTCTCCAAAGAAGGTAGGTCCTTTGGTGATTCCCAGCTCCCCTGGAGCACCTACTGGCTCTGTGGGTACCCCATGAAACACTGTGGGTACCCCATGAAATACTGTGGGTATCCATAAAACACATCCATGAAATACTGGCTCTGTGGGTACCCCATGAGACACTGTGGGTAACCCCATGAGATACTGTGGGTACCCCATGAGACACTATGGGTAGCCCATGAAACACTGCTGGGTTTCAGCTTCCTGGGAAGCACAGGGGTCCTGGGAGCAGAATAGACAAGGAGTGATGTGGTTCTGTCCACAGCCAAACCTCCTCTTCAAGGGAGTCCCCCACCCCCACCAGGCTTACATGTGGCTACTGCCTGAGGCATGTACTTGGCCCCTCAAGGTCAGGAGCCCAAAGCTGCAGATCCAGGCACTGAATGTGGAGTTGGGGTAATGCCAGTTCTGGGAGGGACTCCTCTTCATTCACCCAGGCCTGACTCCTGCACTAGAAGTGGGGTTTTCCAACTGGGTGTCTGCCTCTAAGGTAGCAGGGTTTCTGCAGTTTCCCCAATTCAGCAGGTCCAGCTGAGGAGGAGGCTTCCTGGGGATTCTCAGAGCACAGATCCCTCAAGAATACATACATGCGCACATGAATACACATACATGTGTCATGCACACAGCCACATACAGGCACACACAGACACGTGTATGAATACACATACATGCACATACCGACATGTGCACAATCCTGTACACACTTGCACACAAACACACCATCATGTGCACAACCACACAACATACGTGCACACCACCACACACACATACACACACATATACATGCATGTGCATTCACACATCCATGTACATGTGCACTCAGTCACATACACATGCAAGCATACACCCATGCAGTTGTGCACACATGCACCACATGCATACTCACGTGCAGCCATGCACACAAATGTGCACACATATGCAAATCACACAAGTCATGTGTGCATGCACAGACACAGTCATGTACACTTACACATGCACACACATTCATGCACACGTGCACACACATGTGCAGCCTCACAGCCATGTACATATACTTATATGTGCGCTACAGTCATGTATACCTGCACACACACATACATATATAGATGCACACACATATAGCAGATAAGCTCAGGCTGCCTAGGAGCCTCCTTAGAGATAGTGATCATCTGTCTGGCCCCAGTGATGGTCACAGGGTCCTAGGTCCATCTTCTTCTCCCAGAGCCTTGTCCATGGGTGGCTCTGTTTGTAGGAAAGGGTGTCTATGCTCTTAAAGGCCTTGACAGTGAGACCCTGGTGTTGGAGACCCCCTGCCAGCCTCCCTGCCACTGGAGGATAAATCCCTCAGGGTTGTCCCTTCCAGTCAGGAGGCAAACTAGGAGCCTCAGGGTTCACTGGACCTGGCAGGGATGCGGCATGTCTCATGTGTGAGCGTGCCTCAGGGACACAGGCCATGGAGCCTGGTGTGTGGGCTGTGCCCTGCCGTTGCAGTTGGCACACACAGATGCTGCTTAGCTGTTTCCAGTGTTCAGGCACACTACATCAAAGGGACTTTTCTGATCTCCATCTGACCCGTCTGCCCTGTCCCCAGATGGTTAAAGGACTTTTAACTCCCCCACATACACTGCTGTCCCCCAGCATGGGCTCCACGTGTCCAGCAGGCACTGCCGAAGGCTGGAAGGAATGGTGGTACTGAGCCCTTCCCCCAGTTGATCCTGGAACACTGGGGGCCACACCACACAAGGTGCACACTCCTCCAAGCAGCGGCCCCACCAGATGGAACTGGTCCACGGTGCCCACCTGAGGGGCAGCTGAGTTTCGATCTCAGGGCCAGGGCATCATGGCCAGGGTGGGGCGGTGGTCCATCTCTGGGAAGAGGTGGGAGTGGTGCTGGGCTGCAGCACCTTCCCCAGGACAAGGTGACCCTCCTCCCTCCAGACGCCGCATCTGGTCAACCTGAACGAGGACCCATTGATGTCCGAGTGTCTCCTCTACTACATCAAGGATGGAATCACCAGGTCTGAGGGGGCTGTCCAGGGCCCCTGATCCTGCCCATCTGTGCTTGCCTCCTGTGGCCATCAGGGCCTGGGGGACAGCCAACTCCTACCCATGCACATGTGCGTGTGTGGTCACTCTGGATACAGGCACCATGCCCCTGACTCCCAAGTGCTCCCCAGAAGACCCCGCTGTGGCTGTGCCGAGTCCGGGCTCAAGTGACCCCTGTTCCCTTGCAGAGTGGGCCGGGAGGATGCCGAGAGGCGGCAGGACATTGTGCTGAGTGGACACTTCATTAAGGAGGAACATTGCATTTTCCGGAGTGACTCCCGAGTGGGCCGGGAGGATGCCGAGAGGCGGCAGGACATTGTGCTGAGTGGACACTTCATTAAGGAGGAACATTGCATTTTCCGGAGTGACTCCCGGGGGGGCAGCGAAGGTACCCCACTGCCCAACCCTCCTAGCCCTCCCTCCGGTGTGGCCAATTTCCAAGCTCCTAGCTGTTCGGAGGCATCTATGGGCAGTGGGTGTTCAAGTGTCCCCGTCTACCCCACAGCAGTGGTGACCCTGGAGCCCTGTGAAGGTGCTGACACCTACGTCAATGGCAAGAAGGTCACAGAGCCCAGTGTCCTGCGGTCAGGTAGGACACCCACTGTGGGGCACAGGGGTGTGAGGGGCCAAGCCAACCCCCATTCAGCGGCCGCTTGTGCTGTTCTCCAGGGCTGCTGGGGGCCTGCGAGGGAGAGGTAGGGGCAGCTTCTGCACAGCACCTGGCCTCCAGGATTGGTTCTGGGCAGAGCGGACCCCCAGAGTTATAGGATCACAAATGTATTCAAGTCCCTTCTTTGGAAAAGTAGAAATGCACAGGCAAGCCTCCTGATGGTGGAGGTGGGGTGAGGACCCTCCCCGAGCCCAGCCGGGGGAAGGGCTGAGAGGGGACACTGACCTACCCCCTCTGAAGAGCTTGGTTTTCCACGTCTGTAGAGACCCCAAGCTTCGGGGGTCCTGCCTTTGGGCCTGAGGAAAATTATGGAGAGGTGGGGTCCCTGCACAACCAACTCATGGATGGGGGCTGGGCTGGCCACGAGTAGGGGTGGTCAGTCAGTGCTATTCCAGGGTGTGGACATTTGGGGTGGTCCTGGTGCCCAGGGGTTCTGCAGAGCCTGGGCTGAAGGGAGCCTCGATTTGGGGTTTCTTCCTGGTGCCTGAGCTGACTTTGAACATTGAGGGCTAGTGGATTGGGGGAGAGGACTTCAGGCACAAGGCTCAGGTGAGGAGGCAGGTCCAGGTCCGGGGTTTGGGCGTGGCCTGGCTGGGGAGGGCACCGTGGAGCCTGGGGTGGGAGAGACTGTAGGCTGTTTGAGGGGGTGCCTCTTTTCTTGGCTTCCTGCTCTCACCCCCACGCCACCTGGTGTCCCCCCAGGAAACCGCATCATCATGGGAAAGAGCCACGTGTTCCGCTTCACTCACCCGGAGCAGGCGCGCCAGGAGCGGGAACGCACACCCTGCTCCGAGACACCCGCTGAGCCGGTGGACTGGGCCTTCGCCCAGAGAGAACTGCTGGAGAAGCAGGGGATCGACATGAAGCAGGAGATGGAGCAGAGGTGGGGGTGGTCCAGAGAGAGGGGAGGGGGCGGGGCAGAGGGGAGGAAGTTGGGCAGGGCTGAGAGGGTGGGGGGGTGCTGAGATGAAGCGGGGAGGGAAGAGGGGAGGGGGGCAGAGGCTGAGGTGAGGGAAGCAGGGGCAGAAGTTAGGGGGTGGGCTAGAGGTGGGGGACAGAGTTGAGGTGAGGCCGGAGCAAGGCCAGCTCCCACCTGCACCCCAGTGCCCTGGCACCCCCACATCTCCTTACCTGCTGGTGCCCCACCCCCCCAGGCTGCAAGAGCTGGAGGACCAGTACCGCCGTGAGCGGGAGGAGGCCAATTACCTGCTGGAGCAGCAGAGATTGGTGAGGGACCCTCAGGGAGCTCCACCCAGGCTCTTGGGGCAGTTAGGGACTCTGGAGAAGCTGGGTGCCCAGCCTCCCAGTTGTCCCCAGGGTGTGGGATGTGGTCAGGAGGGCTGTGAAGGGCTGAGCCAGTCCTGTGGCCTCGTCCCTCTCAGGACTATGAGAGTAAACTGGAGGCCCTGCAGAAACAGATGGACTCCAGGTACTACCCAGAGGTGAACGAGGAGGAGGAGGAGCCGGAGGATGAAGGTGAGAGGCCAGAGTGGGCGGGGTCTTGGGGAAGAGGCAGCTCTGGGCCTTCTGGAAGTCAGTGGCATCACTTTGTGCCTAGGAAGGGCTCCGGGTCATGTTCCAGCAGGAGAGTTCAGTCACACACGTAGTGTAAAACTCACCCACACGTACACTGTACAGGCAAGCATGTGTATGCATACACCTGCACGCACGTGTGCACATGTTCCAGCAGGCGAGCCCAGCCAAACATGTAGTGTGCACATTCGTGTACATGTACACTACAAACACAGACACGCACACATGCACCAGCAGGAGAGCACACCAACACATGTACAGTGCATATGTGTTTGCATGTACATGACACCCAGATATGTACAATTCACCAACAGGAGATTACACTCATACATGTAGAGTGCATATGTGTGCACATGTATGTACACACCATGCAGGCACGTACATATACACCAGCCGAGAGATGCATTCACACACATTAATACAAGTGTATACACCTGTACACTGCACTCTAACATGTACACGTGCACCAGAAGGAGGGTGCTCCCATACATGTAGAGTGCACACACATGCACATACACCAGCATCAGGATGCACCCACACATCTATACTAAATGTGTGTGCACATTTATACTGCACCCAGATGTGTACACATGCAGCAGCAGGAGGGTGCTCCCACACATGTAGCGTGCACATGTACACTGCACACACACACACACATACACCAGCAGCAGGGTGCACCCACACATATATACTAAATGTGTGTGCACATTTATACTGCACCCAGACATGTACAAATGCACCAGCTGGACAGTGCTCCCACACATGTAGAGTGCACACTCATGTACATGTATGCTGCAAACACAGACATGTGGCAACAGGAGACTCCACCCACACATGTAGAGTGCATGTGTGTTCATGTGTATGCTGCACCCAGGCATATGCACATACACCAGCAGGAAGGTATACTCACATGTAGAGTGCACACTCATGTATACTTCCATTGCACCCACAGCCGTGTACACATACATCTGTATGCATGCCTCTGCATTTCCACACAATGTGTACACACGCACACTCTACATATCTGCATGCATGCACAAGTGCATATTATACACACATGTTCATACGCACCCAGTGTACACATACATTTGCACATGTACAACACAAAACATGTGGCCACATACACAACACACAGATCCACCCACATGCACACAATTAATACTCTGCAATACACCTTCACAACATGCTGTACACACATTCACATGCACACATATTTGTTCATGTTGGCTGTGAAGGGCATGTGAACACAAAAGCAAATGAATACGTGCATATGGTTTGCACACTCACATGTGCACATACATACACACACATAGAGATGGGATGCACACTCATGTGTGCATACTCATGCACATAAGTGCATATATGATGCACAACCCTGCTGGTTGGGCTGGCTTCAGGGGCACGGAGTTGGCTCAGGGCAGCTCCGAACAGTGACCAGCTCCATCAAGTCTGCTTGGCCTCCCTGACACTGGGCTCTTTGGCTGGGTGCTTGGTGGAATTTCCCATGGTGACTATGGACTGCCTTCACAGTTCAGTGGACAGAACGGGAGTCTGAGTTGGCGCTGTGGGCCTTCCGGAAGTGGAAGTGGTACCAGTTCACATCCCTGCGTGACCAGCTGTGGGGGAACGCCATTTTCCTGAAGGAGGCCAATGCCATCAGCGTGGAGCTCAAGAAGAAGGTGGGGCCTGAGGTGCACCCCTGGGACCTTGCACTGTGTGTGACGGGGCACCGGGCAGCCCAGCGGAGGGGCATGCCCCCACCTCACCTGGGTCCTTAGAAGGGCTGGCAGTGGGTGGGTGGGGGGCAGGCACTCCTCTGGCTCTATGATTGGCTGAAGGCTGAGGCAAGCAGCAGGGTCTCAGGGCTGACCCCCAGGAGGTGGGACAGGCACTCCTTGGGGACCTGTCCCTCTCCCAGGGCTGACACTCAGCCCCTCCCACCTACACCAGGTCCAGTTCCAATTTGTCCTCCTCACGGACACACTCTACTCTCCGCTGCCTCCGGACCTGCTGCCCCCCGAGGCTGCCAAAGACAGGGAGACACGCCCCTTCCCCCGCACCATTGTGGCCGTGGAGGTGCAGGACCAAAAGAATGGGGCCACCCACTACTGGACGCTGGAGAAGCTCAGGTGGGGCCATCGGGCGGGCAGGAGGTGGACAGTGGGAAGGGCAGGTGGACCATGGCCTGAGCCACAGTGATGCTGTGTGCCCTGACACATCTCTATGTTTCTATGGAGAAAACGGTGGTGCAGGGCCAAAGGGTTACCAGAGAGGAGAGGGCAGGGCTGGTGGGGACCAGCAGGGAGCTGTCACCTGGGACCGAAGTGTAGTCCACCCAGGCTGGGCCCCACAGCGGCGCGGGGACGAGCACCCCACCTCTTGCACACCACCATCATCATGTAGGAGGCATTCTCTAGCCAGCCTAGTTGAGGTGAAAGGGGGCTGGATGGAGGGAGGTCCATGGGAGAAGACTGGGCTGGGAGTAAAGTGGGCTGGCAGGGGGCACTGCTCAACCTGAGAAATGGTGTCTTCCTACAAGCTTGGCTCCACTCACACAAACTCTCTCTCTCACACACACTCACAGGGACATGTACATACATGCATACACCCTCACACACACTCAGAAACACTTAAATGCATATACACACTCACAAATACATACACACACACTCAGGAACACCTGCATACACCGGCACACACTCTCAGGAACATGTACACATGTGACACGTATTCAGAAACACTTAAACATATACATACACAAGCTCATGAATGCATACACACACATAGGCACACTTACACACATACATACATGCTCACACACCCACAGGCACACTTCCACTCACAGGCACACACATTCACACAACTCACTGTCACTTACTGCACACAGTCACACCTACACACATACACTCACACACAGAGGCATATTTATTTAGTAATACCATCCCACTTACATATACTCATGTACACACTCAGACACTCATGCACAAATTCACATGTGCACACATCGGCACACGCAGTCACACATCGGCACGCAGAGTCACACATCGGCATGCAGAGTCATACATTGGCACACAGTCATCCATCAGCACATAGAGTCACACATCAGCACACACAGAGTCACACATTGGCACACACAGAGTCACACATTGGCACACACAGTCACACATCGGCACGCAGAGTCACACATCGGCACGCAGAGTCACACATCGGCACGCAGTCACACATCGGCACACACAGAGTCACACATCGGCACACACAGAGTCACACATCGGCACACACAGAGTCACACATCGGCATGCAGAGTCACACATCGGCACACACGGAGTCACACATCGGCACACACAGAGTCACACATTGGCACGCAGTCATCCATCAGCACATAGAGTCACACATTGGCACACAGAGTCACACATCGGCACACACGAAGTCACAAATCGGCACACACGGAGTCACACATTGGCACGCACTCATCCATCAGCACATAGAGTCACACATCAGCACACACAGAGTCACACATAGGCACACACGGAGTCACACATCGGCATACACAGAGTCACACATCGGCACGCAGAGTCACACATCGGCACTCAGAGTCACACATCGGCACACACAGAGTCACACATCGGCACGCAGAGTCACACATTTGCACGCAGAGTCACACATCGGCACGCAGTCATCCATCAGCACGTAGAGTCACACATCGGCACACAGAGTCACACATCGGCACACACAGAGTCACACATCGGCACACACAGAGTCACACAGTGGCACACACAGAGTCACACATCGGCACGCAGAGTCACACAGCAGCATGCAGAGTCACATATTGGCACGCAGTCATCCATCAGCACAGAGTCACGCATCGGCACACATAGTCACACATCGGCATGCAGAGTCACACATCGGCACGCAGAGTCACACATCGGCATGCAGTCATCCATCAGCACATAGAGTCACACATCGGCACACAGAGTCACACATCGGCACACACAGGGTCACACATCGGCACACACGGAGTCACACATCGGCACACACGTAGTCACACATTGGCACACAGTCATCCATCAGCACATAGAGTCACACATCAGCACACACAGAGTCACACATCGGCACACACAGAGTCACACATCGGCACACACAGAGTCACACATCAGCACGCAGAATCACACATTGGCACGCAGAGTCACACATCGGCACACACAGAGTCACACATCGGCACGCAGAGTCACACATTGGCATGCAGAGTCACACATCGGCACGCAGTCATCCATAAGCACGTAGAGTCACTCATCGGCACACAGAGTCACACCTTGGCACACAGAGTCACACACTGACACGCAGAGTCATACATTGGCAGATCAAAGTCAGACAGATAAACACACTCACATGCCCATCAAATGACACACACATACATGTCTACAAGCACATTACAAACAACATACTCATAGATATACACTTTTTCTTTCTTGTACAAATTATTCACACGTATACAAATACACACTCATATAGATATTAACGCACTCACCCTCACACACGTAGACACCCAATATGCACACGCTCCAATCCATGCTTAAAAACATATACACATTAGCAGACATGCAAACTTACAGTTGTCTGTCACTTTGCTGTACTGTGGTGGGTTTTGTGTTGCTGTGATTCTCGAAGCTGTACCACCAGTATTTTAATACCAGCAGGGTCACCCACGGTAGACATGTTTTAGCTGAGCTTCCAAAGACAGACAAGGAAGAAGGAGAGACGAACTACTTCTGAATATTTAATCACTGAAAACCTTATAAATAGCAGTGAAACACTGTCAGCACAAGAATATTGAATACTGAAACATGACAAAGAGCATCAGAATATTGTCAGATTCAGTGCTGGAAGATGAGCCCCTCAGGTTGGAAGGCACTCAAAATATGACTGGGGAAGAGCTGCCTCCTCAGAGTAGAGTTGATCGTGGTGACGTGAATGGAGTAAAACCTTTGGGACCTTCATTTGCTGATGGGGCACAACTCAGAATGAAGAGAAACAGCTGTAGACATCCATTAATAATTCGAACATGTAACATATGAAGTATGAATATAGGAAAATTGAAAATGGTCAAAAATTAAATGGATTGTATAAACATTGATATCCTAAGGCATTAGTGAGCTGAAATGGACTGATATTGGCCATTTTGAATCTGATGGCCACATGGTTTACTGTGCTGGGATGACAAATGAAAGAGGAATGACGTCACATTCATTATCAAAAAGAACATTTCAAGATCTGTCTTGAAGTACAATGCTGTCTGTGATAGGGTAGTGTCCATACACCTATAAGAGAGACCAGTTATAATACCATTGTTCTTCAAATGTGCACACCAACCTCTGAAGCCAGTGATTTTGAAATTGAAGAACTGATCAAACATATAATCTACATGGATTGATAATTACTGGCGGTTGAAATTCAGAGGGTGGAAACAAAGAAGGATTCATAGTTGGAAAATATGACCTTAGTGATAACAACGATGCTGGCGATCGCATGATAGAATTTTCTAAGACCAATGACTTCTTCATTGCAAATACTTTTTTTTAATATATATATTTTATTGTGATAGTTTACATGGGAGAACATTAGCTTTACATTCATCCTATCGTTTATCATTTCATTACCATGGTTACAATCCCCTCCATGCATCATCAACCAACCAAATGGTATACCCTGCAAGCCTGCCCCTGGTCATCAGCACAAAGCCCCTATCCCTCTCTGGTACAAATACTTTTTTAAACAACATAAATGATGACTATATATATGGACCTTAGCAGATGGAACACACAGAAATCAAATTGACTACATCTGTGGAAAGAGATGGTGGAAAAGCTCCATATTATCAGCCAAAACAAGCTCAGGGGCAGACTGTGGAACAGACCATCAATTACTCATATGCAAATCCAGGCTGAAGCTGAGGAAAATGAAAACAAGTCCATAAGGGCCAAAATATAACCTTGAATATATCCCACCTGAATTTAGAGACCGTCTGTAGAAATTTGATGCACTAGATACTAAAGACCAAGGACCAGAAGAGTTGGGGGATGACATCAAGAACACCATACAGGAAGAAAGTAAAAGGTTATTAAGAAGACAGAAAAGGAGAAAAAGACCAAAATGGATGTCAGAAGAGACTCTGAAGCTTGCTTTCCAGTGTGGAGATACTAAAGCTAAAAGAAGAAATGAGGAGGTAAAAGAGCTGAATAGAAAATTTCAAAGGCCAGCTAGAGAAGACAAAGTCAAATGTTATAATGAAAGGTGC